ACTTTAAGACTACAGATCTCTTATCTTCTGTGCTCCCTGCAAAAATTCTGTACTCTGAGGTCACAGCAACCCAAGCAAAATGGGCAGCTCTAACAAGTGAGGCATTCCAGTGTCTAGAACTAAAGATCCTACTTATTATTCAGGAAGACACATTCAGTAGGTACGTTTCTGCCTTCCTTTTCTCTTAAAACTCTGCAAATCATTAACAAAATCGAAAAAGTGAGATAAAAATCAATTCATTAATAAATAATACCTCTGAAAGCAAGAGAGGACCTTTCATAACATCCCAGCTAGCACAGCCACTTTCAGTTTACAGAAGTCACTGGATAAATATTATAAATGTATTAGAAACAGGCCAGGCGTGGTGGCTCATGCCTGTAATCTCAGCTCACTTTGGGAGGCCAAGGTGGGTGGATCACCTGAGGTCAGGAGTTCGAGACTAGCCTGGCCAACACAGTAAAACCCTTTCTTTACTAAAAATACAAACATTAGCCAGGCATGGTGGCGCATGTCTATAATTCCAGCTACTGGGAGACTGAAGCAGGAGAATCACTTGAATCCAGGAGGCAGAGGCTGCAGTGAGCCGACATTGTGCCACTGCACTCCAGCCTGGGCGACACAGCAAGACTCCATCTCAAATAATAATAAGTAAATAAATTTATTAGAAATATAGCAGTCCCACACATCTGAAACGGTTACAAATATGTACCCAACTCTTGCCTCAAACAGGTTATTGACATAAAAGAATCATGTTGGTTCCTAAAGTCACTTGGTAAGTTTGACTCAAAGGCTGGAACAACACGCCTCAAGGAACTTATCTTTGCAACAAAAAGTAATTTCCCAGACTGCAGGAGCAAGCCTAAATTACAAAACTAAGAAACAACACATTGCAAACGCTGACTTTCTTTTTCTAGCCCACTGAGAAAGGACAGTTTGCTGCTTCCCAAAACTATTCTCAAAGCTTCAGATCTAATAGCTTAGGATCAATTATATATAAATATATGTGCAGAAGTCAAGTCAAATAATAAAAATTACATCATACTTCTTCCCTGTTTCATGAATAATTTAGCAACACAGCAACCATCGATTAGGCTATTGTTTTAAACTGTTAACCAACATCTTTATCTTAACCACGGTAAAAGGACAAAGGAGGTGCTGACTGATAACTCATTTTTGACGAATATCCTTGCTAACACACAACAGATCAAAAACTCAGATTTTATATATACTTGTCTTATTGATATTCAAAAACGTATCAACAAATCAATCCTTGCACCTACGTATGTCAGAGATGAATGACTTAGACATTTTTTCCTACATAAAATAATTAAATCACAATGTGAATAATTGCATTTCAGGAAACAAATTACCAAACCAAAAAAAAAAAAAAAAAATCACAGAAGCGGAAGAATTTCGGAGATGAAAGGGATTCTGACACTGAGAAGTTCTCCTGTAATGCTTTAGTGAAACTGTGAAACCAAAGGCATAGTAAGTAGCTATAAAGTTTTGCTCTAATGCTTCCTCACGTGCATACGTAGGGAAATATACATCTATATCCTTATACAAAAACTTAGCCAAGAAGCAAAACACATTAGCAGCAACTCTGTTTTTCATGGTTACTTTTCTTTCTTTGTTTTTGAGACGGAGTTTTGCTCTTGCCTCCAGGCTGAAGTGCAGTGGCGTGATCTCGGCTCACTGCAACCTCCACCTAATGGGTTCAAGCTATTCTCCTGCCTCAGCCTCCTGAGTAGCTGGGATTACAGGTGCCCACCACCGGGCTCACCTAATTTTTAGTAGAGACAGGGTTTCGCCATGTTGGCTAGGCTGGTCTTGAACTTCTGACCTCGTGATCCACCCTCCACCTCCCAAAGTGCTGGGATTACAGGAATAAGCCACCACGCCCGACCTTCCATGGTACTTTCTCTAACACCAAAAGCTCTAATAAACTCACTATTGATGTTTTCAGTAAGATACTGCATGGTCCGAGTTTTGTCATGAACTTTGATTTTAATCCAAACCACTGGACTAAAACATTTCTGTTCAATTCCAAGTTTGCAACAAATAGGTGCCCAAGATAGTGATAAAGACAAGATGGCGTTCCTGAAGTACCCTGTGCTTAAGGAAGGGACAGAATGGAGAAGAGAAGGCGACAACTCAAGTGGTTCACCAACCCAGCAGCTCCAGCAACATAACGGGACAAAGATTTTCTAAATTAACAGAAAAACCATCCAGCCTCCACGTTCCTCCAGTACAAGAGTGAGATGGGGAGAGGGCAGCCACCCTCTGAACTCCACTGCCCACGACAGACAGAGCTAAGTGCTCACACCAGTTTACCCCACTGCGCTAGGTACAGCCTGTGAACTCCACCACACAGGGAGAAACCAACCCCTGGAATAAGCACATCAGCTGAAGCCCATGGCCATGCTGACCCCGATGGTGCCAGGAAACAGCCACTGAAAATTAAGCACTAAATCATGTGACGCACAAGATCTCAACCACGACAGGATATGCCGGTTGTGGATATTCACTCCATGCACAAAATGTACTGTCCCAGATTAGAGGACTAGGTTTGAAGCATTATCTTTATCTCACCTCACTTACAGCAAAAGCCTCAAATAACAATCAACTCCTGAAACAAAGTACCTCCAGCGTAGTAAGTTATCATTATCTGTGAATAAACTTCCATTACCATATACAAACACTTAGGGTTTCGGAACTCTTCATCCTTTTCAAATAAAATACTTACTTCAATAGAGACACACTGATCTTCACATATGTCAGGTCATGGAAAGAAAAAGCTATCCATATAAAGTACTGAATGCAAAGCACTGAAGGACCCCATGAAGGAGGAATACATTATTATTTTTGTCCTCCTCATTGTTCCAGTAACACTTTATGCTGCACTACTGTAGCAATTATAACTCTATATTTATAGTTATGCATTTGTGTGTTGGTCTATTCGACTAGTATAAATTTCTGAAAGGGCAAAAAGTATGTCTTAATCATCTTTGTATTTTAAGAAACTAGAGCCTGGATGCAGTAGCTCATACCTGTAATCTTTTTTTTTTTTTTTTAAGACAGAGTTTCACCATGTTGATCAGGCTGGTCTTGAACTCCCGACCTCTGTGATCCACCTGCCTTGGCCTCCAAAGTGCTTGGATTACAGAAGTGAGCTATCACACCTGGCCCATAGTAATCTTAGCACTTTGAGAGGCTGAGGCTGGAGGATCGCTTGAGACCAGGACCAGGAGTTTAAGACCAGCCTGGGCAACACAGGAAGACCCTATCTCTAAAAAAAAAAAAATTTTTTTTTAATGAGCTGGCTTTGTGGCACACATCCATGTTCCTAATACTAAGGAGGCTGAGGTGGGAGCATCATTTGAGTCCGAGAGGTCAAGTGTACAGTAAGCTGAGATCCTGTCACTGCACTCCAGTGTGGGTGACAGAAAGGGGGGGGGGCAGGCAACAAACTAGACATACCAGTGCTCAATAACGTTCATTACCAGTGCTCAATAATGTTCATTACCAGTGCTCAATAAAGTTTATTAACTGTAAGAAAAAAAAATTAAGACACAGCACCTAAACATGAGAAAAGACATGCAAAATAACAGAGAACAGCAACAATGACTAAGTCCCTAAGTGAGAATTTGTCAGCCAGAGTAGGGAGCAATCTTGGCAAGAGGAGCCTTCATCTAGAAAAGGGTTCAGCAAACTAGGGCCAACTGCAGCCCTCTGTCTGTTATTTCCAAATAAAGTTTTATTGGTACTCAAACCTGACAAATTGTTTAGGTATTGTCTATGGCTGCTTTCATGTGGCAGAGCTGAACAGCTAAAGCAAAAACTGTATGTCTCACGAAGCCAAAAATATTAACCATGTGTCTCTTTATAGAACAAAAATATTTGCAACCTCTGGTCTAGAATAAACTGTAGCTAGAACTCCAGTGATCTGTGAACTTGCATTGAAAAGGAAATCATCTTTATTTTCAACAGTCTCAAACTGGTTTCATGAATTCAGCACTTAGCATTTCCTTCAATTTACCAATGTAGGAAAACCTACAGTACTATTAGCAATACTTGAGAATTTGTCATCACGAGAAATAACTCACATTACAGTTGCTGCAGGTATCTCAAAATGTCACAGGCACTCATGATAACTTCAATATTATGATAATTGTTATACCTGCTACTAGATCTTATAACGTGTTAATAAAATGTTCATGCATTGCCAATCACAAATTTTAATATTTTGATAACTACCTCAATAAAAGTAGTTCCCTCTGTAACCCTGTGTACTCTGGTTGAAAAGCGAAACATATTTATTAGATATCGAATAGTCCTAGGTACCTGACCGTCTTCCAAATACCCAGGAATGAAAAGTGCATCTCTGCTTTGCTACTTCGAAGATGCCAGGCTGCACACATTCATGCTGAAAACAAGTCTCAACCATGGGCGTAAATTACCATTTAACTGGGAAAAGGAAAGAAGTTGGCCAGGTGTCCTTTGAGGACAGGAAGACACAAGCAGCAGGGGGCTCTCAAACTGGGAGCTCCTGTTTGTCAAGCTGGGAGCACTCTGAATACTGCTACAAAGCCTTTCTTTTCCTCAGAGAAACTCACAAGTTTGTCTGGGACAGCAGGAGCCATCTTCTAGAAAAAAGGACAACAGCGGAGACAATATCCTTGAGGGAATAAATGGCCTAATTTCAAGACTTTTACCAGGACTCTACTGGGTAACGAGGGGTATCACTAAAGCCATCATGGTCACAAATGCCTACCTAAGAAGGTAATTCTTGTAATAAACGGAAACTGCTTTACAGCCCATCAAGTCAATAAATCGGCCTTTTAAGAAGTTTTTAAGAACACATTGACTTTAACAACTCCATAGGAACCATTGTGATATAATTGTGTCCATCATACTAAAATTAAAGGCTTCCAATAAGGAATGAACATTAAGGTCTGGGGTCAGTGATCAAGCATTTATGGGCTTCCCAGAAGGACCTAATAAAGCAGATTACGGGGTGATTCAGTAACTGTCTGTACTGTCCCACATTACTTAGGGGCTCTTTACTTCACAGATCACTGAAAGTGATACCACTCAGAATCTTTACCATTTCAAACACCAGTGAGATAACCCATCCTCTAAAACTAAACACAGTCAAGTTTTTCAAATAGAGGCAATGTGATGCTACCAAGGTCGTCTTAGATTCATTCAGGGAAAAGGCAGGAAAGGAAGTAACAGTATACATTAAATAATTCTTGCGATGGAGTTTTTCTTGTTTTCGGATTCTTTCCAGAGTAATTAGCCTTAATCATTTACAGGAGATACAAATGAACATTAAAAGGCCACCAGGAATTATCATCACCGTAATTCCTTCTTCATCAGTCACTTATTCTGGGGTTGGGGTGGGGAGAAGAACAGACACATTTTTCAACTCAACAAAGTATTCATATTTGTTTCTTAGGTTAAATAACTCTTTTGTTTTGCATACAAAGGATTCAGTTTTGGGGAAAGTGTAAGATTTTTTAGCCTATGTTATGAAGAGCTTCTGAAGAAGGATAACAGATCACTAACTCTTTTCCCTTTTGGGATGTATGTTAAAAACCAACACTGTGTTTTGCTTAGAAAAACTGGCATCGAGGCATGGGAGATCACGGTGATAATTCAGAAAGAATTCAGAAGACATCAGTTTTCTCCTTGTCTTTAAGCCGCTATGGTGCATACGGTTTCTATCCCCAGTGGGACATTTCAAAGACACAATGCTAATTTTCCTCAAATGTAGCATATTCTCAATCTACACAATGTAATCAGACAGAGAATGATCATTTAAAGATCTATTAGTTTCAAAACTTTCTAGACATATGTCATTTCTGGTGTCTTAAAATATCAGAAGACATTAAGTATAAAAATAGAACCACAGAGGTTAAAGTAGGTCTTTTCTCTAAAAATAATACTCCTGCCTATTTCTGACACTATCAATGATACGCACCCAGTTTGGGGGTGGATTTTTTTTCCATTTTTCTAACTCTTCACTATCTTGACTCTCCAACCACCCTTGAATTCCCACAATAGTTATGATAACCAGCCTGGCTGTTTAAAATTTTTTCTTAAGACCCTCTAAAGATAAAGAACCATAACTAGTGACCAACTGCTGAAATAACTCGTGAGGCTCAAGGTAAAAGTCAAACCATGGCCAAGTACTAAGTCAAGTTTATTCAGATCATGTGCTTCCCATGCCATGAAGTAAGCCCAAGCCACAATCTGTGTTCTTTTCTCACATTAAAAGCTAGGAACAGTCAAGGAAGGAGAATAAAATGAACTTTTTAGAAACTAAAATAAAGTGTCCACTAGCCAATGCAAATCGTCCTCTTTTAATTTTTGAACCACCACCATAACAGCTACATCTGACACTACCTCCTCTATGTAAGATTATGGGGGGAAATATGTTTGTTTTTATTTCCATAGTAAATAATGAGAAAAAGGCGAGAGGCACATATGACTTGGGAAACCTACATATGATGGTCATGTAAGATGGCTTTTATTTATAAGTCTAATTAGTAGTTGTCATTTCCTGTTTAGAGGGGACTAAAAGAAAAAGTGTGATTAGGGAGAAGGGCTGGTTGCTGACAGGCCGGGGAAAGTACAGGAATCCAAGGAAAGGAACAACAGGTAGGGAAGAAGTGGCCCTACTTCCCTAAGCTGAGAGTGTGTGTGTGTGTGTGTGTGTGTGTGTGTGTCAAAGGCATGTGTGTATGGCAGGTTGTCCATTAGTGTATTACTATCATGACCCTACCTATGTGTTCAACCCTGTTTAGGTAACTTCTTATGAGTTCTCTATTATTGTCAATGTATATCTGTACATAAAGATTTTATACTATATTCTAAGAAGATTTATCAACATGAGTACCCTCATGCTTTCAATTTGACATAGAATTTTTTTTTTTTTTTTTTTTTTTTTTGAGATGGAGTCTCACTCTGTCATCCAGGTTGGAGTGCAGTGGCACAATCTCGGCTCACTACAACTTCCGCCTCCTGGGTTCAGGCGACTCTCCTGCCTCAGCCTCCTGAGTAGCTTGGGACTACAGGCGTGCGCCACCATGCCCAGCTAATTTTTGTATTTTTTAGTAGAAATGGGGTTTCACTATATCGGACAGGCTGGTCTCAAACTCCTGACCTCATGCTCAGCCGCCTTGGCCTCTCAAAGTGATGGGATTATAAGTGTGAGCCCCCGTGCCCAGCTGACATAGAATATTTTATACTTCCTATTTCATTTTTTCCCTGAATAACCATCTGTTTATCAAGTGGACACTATCATTTGAAGCCAGGTCTATGCCAACAAAATAGAGCAAGACTGATGAAAAATATAAAGCGAATTTGACACCCCGAATATCTGCTTTTACCAGAAGCATGCAGCTAATGAAGATCTAAGGATTTGGATAGGTCTTTAGTTAGCCTGAATTATCTAGATAATTACATTCATTTTTGCTAAAGTCAATTCATTCTTAATTGGTGATGCTAATTATATAAATATATCTCTCTTCTACCACGTTCTAGATTTTTCAAACGTAACAGTTTTTGGTTTAATTTTTCTAGGTAGGCACTGAATTTCACATTTCATATAAACAAACCCCTAATGTGGACATGACCTAAAAAAGCATGTATACCTCCTGAACTGTCCTCCCTCTGAGAGCATCATTCTGAAAACCAAATACAGCAGAGGTTAATGTGCAGAACCTATACGTAATTCACAAACGTGGCTAGGAAAAATGGTTAGCAGTTGCTTGTTAGAAGCATAGCCATGAAAATTTCTGTAGCATTTCTGCATGTAATTAGCCTCTTTTTTCCCTTAGCTATTTATAAATGCATAAATATACCTGCACTCTACGTAATGATGACAGACAGTGACAACATATTGATATACAGCGCCACTTCGTACTTGGAAATGAATATTTCATTAGCTGAGTTATCACTGCGGGGTTATGACCTTCAAGTCTCTAATTTTAAATTCATCCGTTTTCAGACTATTAAGCTGTTCTTGAGCACACCACAGAAATTATAGATAGAGAGGTAAATTTTCAAGATAATTTTTACTTTCGAAAAAGGTCAAGGATATGCATACTAAATTCTTTAAAAGAATTGTAACTCATAATGAGAGCAAATGGGTCATTTTGGTTGTTAATGATATTTGCTTCTACATGTAAAAATGGAAAGGCTGAAGAAACAGATCATGATCACTGAATGAAATTATCAAGCTCCTAATGTACCAGCACTATGCATACGAAACTTAAAGAACAACTACGCAGATGATCAACTAACTAGATCTAGCTTAAGTCTTGTGGAAGCTTAGAGTGAAACACAGATGTCAGTTTCTAACTCAGCCTCAACATCTTCAACCACAGTACATACCCCTTCCAGGAATAAACTCTATGATTCATTTGACTCACTCACACGCACTCTCTCCCCCACCTCCTTAAGTTAAAGCTGTGTCTTTATAGAATCAAAAACATTTACATATTATGGTATGCATTAAAAAATCAGTATCTGAAAGAAATGAAGGAAGGGAAAATCCTTAGTTGAATGACAGCTGCTTTTCCCTCAATCCAGCATCACCTAACCCCATCCCGCAACGCCACCACCAGTCAGCATGTAGCCTTGCCCTTCAGATCACCTCCTGGGAAAAGGAGGCAGGCAGTTATGAGTGTAGCCCCATTGACATCACCAATTATTCACCTCCTTACAAATTCAGCAGCAGTTTCTGGCTCACCCACTACTCTTAGGTTCACAGTGTACTTTTCATCATTCCTCGCCTTCTCTATGCAGGTTCCTCCTCCCTTTCTGCTTCTTTAATATTGGTGTTTCTCAGGGGATATTGCTCTATAATTTTCTTTCAGTCATCTAAGCTAATCCCAAACCTCTGACCCCATCCCATGCTCAGGTCCAAATGGCCAATGAATGGCCAGATGGACTTTTCCAACAGTACATGCAGGTAGCGCCTCTAATTAACTCAATCACTGCATAGATCCCCGTCACATCTCCACTTCAGAGTCCAAAACTTGGCACGAAGGCTCTCCGTGATGAGGTCCCTGATATGTGGCCCAAGTTCATCTGTCTCCAGTACCTGCCTTTACATTCCTTCCAGGGCTCAGGACCTGCCTGTGGCCCTCGGCATGAGCTATGCTAGTCCTGGTCTCCACCCCTTGCTCACACTTTATCTACTGCACCAAACATGCTGCTACCAGCTCCCCACTCCAACCCTAACTCAATGTCAGTCTCAACCCTCAGCACACGCCATCTCAACCCTCCTCACCCACAGCACACATATCACCCCAGACACACAGAAATCTTCCCTGTTCACCAAGCCATGCCCTAGGATACATTGTAGCTGGTTCTTATAGCAACAAATGCATTTCTGCATTGTAGTCATCACATGATGATGCTCTATGAATAGTCATCTGTATTGACTCTACCCTAAATACAATAAACACCTTTTAAGTATTTTAGTTCCCAGTAGTGTTTGGTATGAAGCAGATAATAAATATAATTTTATTTTTTCTTGTGACGTGGGGTCTCACTCTGTCACCCAGGCTGAAGTGCAATGGCACAAAGCTCATTGCAGCCTCAATCTCCTGGGCTTAAACGATCCTCCCACCACAGCCTCCCAAGGAGGAAGCATATAAGCACATGCTACCACGTCCACCTAATTTTTATTTTTATTGGAGACAAGGTCTTGTCACGTTGAAATACATCTTTAAAAGTGAATTACAAATGGAATAATCAATCAAACTGAGCTGGGGGTGGTGGCTCACACCTGTAATCCCAGTACTTTAGGAAGGTGAGAGAAGAGGATTGCTTGAGGCAAGGAGTTCTAGACCAGCCTGGACAACATGGTGAGTCCTCAACTCTTAAAACAAAATTGTTTTTAATTAGCCAGGCATGGTTGTGCACACCTGTAGCCCCAATTACTTAGGAGGCTGAGGCAGGAAGCTCACTTAAGCCCAGGTGTTTGAGGCTTCAGTAAGTTATGACTACACCACTGCACTCCAGCCTGGGCAAAAGAATAATTAAAAATTAAATCTATCTATTTAAAAAAACTATCTCTTTTAAAAAACTAAAAAACCAAAAATGATACTTATCCAGTCTCATGCAATTATTACCATGAAACAAACAGCATCTCCTAACCTTTAGCTTAAAATGAAGGGTTCTAGAATGCCCCAGGTCAACTAGGCTAAATAGTCCTCTTCAGTTTTCTCTTTCAGCTCTTGTTTCATCAGAGCACTTTGCCTCAATTAACATCCGTTACTCTTGTCCTTAAAAATCCACAGTTTCTGGCTCACCTAGCACTTTTGTTTAGCAGTACACCAAAAGTCTTTGCATGCATCACACTTTTAAATCAAAGATGAGTGAAATTATATGTCCAATGTCTGTCTTTTTTTTTTTTCTTTTGAGACAGAGTCTCGCTCTGGTGCCAGGTGCCAGGCTGGAGTGCAGTGGCACAAACTCGGTTCACTGCAACCTCCGCTTCCCAGGTTTCAAGCAATTCTCCTGCCTCAGCCTCCCAAGTAGCTGGGACTACAGGCGCACACCACCACGCCCAGCTAATTTTTGTATTTTTAGTAGAGACAGGGTTTCACCATGTTGGCCAGGATGGTCTCGATCTCTTGACCTCGTGATCCACCCGCCTCGGCCTCCCAAAGTGCTGGGATTACAGGTGTGAGCCACCGTGCCCGGCCCAATGTCTATCTTTCATATTAAGTTTCGTGAAGGCAGGGTTCATCAGCCTGGCTGAAGGTTCACGCTCAATTTACTTACTGATTTAACACATGACTAAATTGATGAATAAAGCATTGTCTTCGTCTATTATTAAATTAGCACTGATTGGTTTGTCAAATTAGCCAAGTGATACCTTGGAAAATAAACAATGTCTGACATTGAGGAGATGGTAAAAGAGATAAGTGCACTTGAGTAAGCTCATCTTTAAACATGTTTAATGCAGCCCAAAGGAAGATAGAAATATAAAGTACCTTGCGCCTTGGCCTTAGGGGTCTCAAAGACATAGTGCAGCGCTACAATGGCGGTTCCCAATATTTTAAGTATGGTACCTACACAAAATAACAACACACCAGGTGTCTCTGCTTAGACCTGGGGATTATACCCATTCAATGAGGTTGCAATGGTCATGTCCTGCTGAGCTGAAGCTATCACAGATTTAAATCATGTTTATGAAGAAAAATGGGTGGGTGTTTGAGGCAAGACAATTGCTTGAGCCCAGGAGTTCAAGACCAGCCTGGGAAACATAGTAGTATCCCATCTCTATAATAAATTAAAAAAGAAAAAAGAGCCAGGCATGGTGGGCACACCTGTGGTCCCAGCTACTCAGGAGGCTGAGGCAGGAGGATCACTTGTGACTGGAAGGCTGAGGCTACAGTGAGCTAAGGTCTCAACACTGCACTCCAGCCTGCATGACAGAGTAAGACCCTATATCCAAAAAAAGGCCAAAATAAATGAAGAGAAAGTAATAAATTCTGTTAATTTAGTAATCAACATCTCATAATAATTCAATTGAAAATCAACTGTTGGTCTACATTCAGAGCCGAATAGTATTATCATACTGATGAAAACAAAATATTTGTCTACCGAATCAGAGAATCAAGAGACAAACCTGGTTTGCCTGTGATTTTGCCTCATGCAGGAAACTCATGATAGATTCATTAAGCATTCTCAAATTTTTATTCATTGGAGAGGTCAGGGTGTAGGAAATGATAACATGTATCCCAAATTTACTGAGCCACACAACACAGAGTAGTCTTTATTAGTTTCAAAACATATATTAAATTATAAATAATCATCAAAGGACAGTCGTCAAACGGAAGTTATATCTTTGATCTATCATCTATTTCTAGAAAAACAGATTCTAACTACTCATATGCCCAGCCATCTCTCAACATTTTATATGAAAAGCACACACAACTAAACCTATTTTATGTGAAACACTCGGCAAATTCTATTTCATTGGCCCTTCTACTCCTAACTTTTTAAATGCAGGTGGAAGGACGGGAATCAATACTAAATTTCCCAACAGATTCAGCCCCAAGGCATCCTTCCTCCTTCAGAGGCCATCACTGAGGCTTTCCTATCCAAATCCTTTTACTATAGCCACGTGCTCCCTCAATTTTTGGCAGATACTCTCAAGTCATGTGAAATTAGCTAAGATAACTAAAGAGACCCAAGTCAAACACTCTAAGAGCTACATAATTACAAAAATTCCTCCCCATTCCCTCTAGAGGCCGGTTGGAGGAGATCTCCAAGCTAATCCTGGTTTTGTTAGCAAAATCCCATTAACTTATAATACCATACCATCAAGTACATTACCCTCAAAAACAAAGAATATAGACATAGGCACACATTTTAATTTCATGGACATTTTATCTTCCTATTTAAAGCTCATTGGCAGGAGTGTCTAAGAATGAAGTTTTTCAAATGGTTAATGAACGGAAAGCAAATTCTTAGATCATGGATGCAAATTCAACTGTCTCATGGGGTGAGGCAGATCCTATAAATGACTGAGTTTGCAATATTACTCATCAGTAGGGATTGACTGGGAGGAGGCACTGCTGTTATGGAGGAATGCAGGCTCCCTGCTGTCCCACTGCTTGATTTTACTGTTTCAATTAAGAATGCGTGTACTGTGATTTAAGGAAGATATTCACATTGACCTTTTAAATTAAAATCCCCAATTTTTAAATATTGGAAAACGAACTCAAGGATGTTAAAAACACTGTATGAACAAATACACTATTTGCAGACTAAACACAGCCCAAATCAGAGACGAATCCAGTTTGCCTGTGATTTAGTCACATGCAGGAAATTCACAAAGCTTCATTAAGCGTTCTTGTAATTTCTTCCTGGAGGCCTAAGTGGCTGCCTGCCCCCGACTCAAGTTTCTGGTATTTTCCAGCTTCATAAAATAATTCCTCCCACAAAACAACAAAGCAAAGTCTGATTGTCATTACCCAGAGCTGCTGATTAAATGGCTAATTTCAAGTAACTTGTCATCACTTGATTAAACTTTATATAGTAATGCTGACTTTGTCTTATTCAGAGAAACACATTTGGGTTTCATATGTGACTTCCACGTCCGGCAATGAAACTTTTTGGCGACAAAGTTCTTGTATCAACTTTTCTTAGGTAGAGTGTCTTAGTCTGGCTTTCCCAGAAACTGGGCCCGAGACAAGATTGGAATAGCAGTACTTTCTTTGGGAGATGGCCCAGGAAACAACAGGGGAGTGATGAATAAGAGAAGGTAATATCTAACTCTAGTCAATTACAGGCTCAAAGCTGCTAGCTATGAGACACGGACTCTCCCAGCCCTTCTGGATGGCCACATGCAGGTACCTGTGGCTCCAGAGAGCCCTTGGAGAAAGAGTTGCAAAGGCCAGCAGGTGGATAGCAGGTCAGCATACAAAAACAAAAAGTATAAGTGCTTGGAAAATGAGGAAATGATTTAAGAAGCTAATCTTCTTGAAGCTAATCTTTCTACAGCTAAAAGGTTTGGTAGGATATCTGCCCTCTGAGGTGGAGCATGACTAACTAAAATGCCTAAAGACCATTTACATAACTTACATCCCTGCATCTTCACTGGCTGGAGGACTGCAAAAAAAAGGCTCACCTTAGAGAGATATTTTAGCCCTATCTCCCTAGAGACAAGTCATCTCTGATGTACAGTGCCAGGCACCAAGCCTGTAGCTTCCAATACCACCATGTGTCATTAGGAAGGCAATTAGGAGCAATCACACTCTTCCAGACAATTACTGCCTCTCACAGGGGGGCTCACTCTTAAAATTAGACCTGGAGTCAAAGCCTACTTGTATAGTATTATATCTTCCACTTTTGTCTCCCCAAGGATTCATCAGGTGTTTCCCCAGTTTGCTCAGCTTCAAGCACTCTCAGGAGAATGTACAAGTCTGTGCAGCTTCTTAACGGATGTTAATCTATGGCCAAAATGAGGTATCTCAAAACAGCAACATAAGAAGTGTTCAGTAACTTCAAAGGTAGAGAAAAATGTGCAAATGTCCCTCCCTTAGAACGTGTGAGTGTGTGTGTGTGTGTGTGTGTGCAAATCCTCCTAAAACGATCATTTATCATCGCCCTTAGTATTTTACTGTCTCTAATGCATCCCACATGACTCTGCAGGATCCAGCTCCTTCCTTCCTCCTATTTCCCTCTCTCTCACTTTGCTCCCACCTCCAGGTCTTCAGTTAGATGCTAGAACAAGCCGTGTGCTTTTCCCACCGTGTGGTCCTGATACTTGCTGGTCCCTCTGCCTGGAATTATTTCGGACTCATCACATGACTGGGAGACCTTCCCCTCACCATTTCTAAAATCAACCCTACTGCTGTTATCTGAGATCGATTCATTTCATTAAAGGCCACAATAGATCAGTTCTATCTATCTATGTGTTCACTAGTTTCTCACCTGACAGGCCCACAAAGATGGGCCTCAGGGTAGTAGCAGGGACCAAACTGAGGTAAGAGAATAGGGCCCCGGGACAGGGTACCTAAAGCCGATTCACACTGACTTCCTAGAATGAAATCAAAAGAAAAACCCCAACGTTCCACTCCTAACTGACAAAAGGACCAGACACAACTCCCTTTGAAAAACCATTCTCACCTCCAGTTTTCTGCCTGGCAGATGGAAAATTGAAACTATCTCTGATTAGTTGCTTTCCCCAACCAATCAGACGTTTGCATAGGAGTGCAACTTTGTAACTTCACTTCAGCTTTCTGCAACCAGTCAGGCTGATTGGGGGCCACTACTTTATTTACACGGAGTGTAACCAAGTGGCCAATGGGAAACCTCCAGGGGGCATTTGGACCCCGGAAGATTCTGTAACAGGGCCCTTGAGCAGATACTCAGACTGCTCCCCACCCCACCACCCGTGTAGTATACTTTCATTTTCAATAAATCTCAGCTTTTGTTGCTTCATTCTTTCCTTGCTTTGCTGAGAGTTTTGTTCAATTCTTTGTTCAAAACACCAAGAACCTGGACAACTTGCAGTTGAGACCCTCAACTAAGAATGTTACAAAATGGGTTGAGAATGACAAAATGGGTTACATTCTCTGGTGAGCCACAGTGTTTGGCATGGAGCAGGATTCCAAGTATCTAGTTGAATGAATGAATGAATGACAGGTGTTCTACTAGGCACTAAAGAACCAACTATAAGGTAAATACACTTGGTATCTGAAACTCTGGAAATTTAACAGTGTCAGGGCTATAGAGTCAAATAAATGGACTCACTCTGTTTTTCATTATGTGAGACCTTCTTCAGAAACACGGTGAACAGACTGGGTGATTGATTACCCTCTGCCATGTTTCACGTTATCTAGAAACAGATCAACCACGAATGGCCTCCCGACTCAGGACCCATAAAATATGTTTATGTCAAGTGATCCTCTTGTGTGATACCCTCCTTGACCTCTTTAAAAGTCTTCTCCCATTTCCACGTTTTTGGTTGCAAATGATCCCTGGCTTTATACCACTCTTTTCTAAATGTTTCCAATTCCCTGCTAACCCTAACAGCATTGCATTTACTGTCCTGTGTTAACAAGTGATCGGATCCTATTGGTCTCTCTGCAGTAGTGTGACACTTGTCTCAATCATGGAACTAAGCAATGCTTCTTGGTATTCCCCGGGCCTAGGAAACATATTGTCACCTAATAGGTGCTTAATAAAGACTGCTGAAATCAAAGAGGAAAAGATCAAGATTGAAAGCTTATTCCTCCGCCTGTGCTGTACAGTATGGTAGCCACCAGCCACATGTGGCTATTTAAATTTAAATTTAATTTAATTCAAAATTCAGTTCCTCAGCCACACTGGCAATATTTCAAGTGCCCCATGGTCCTATGTGGCAAGCAGCTGCTCTGTTAGACAGTACAGAATAGAACACTTCCATCATTGTAGAAACTTCTATTGGACAGCACTTGTATGGATCTTTAAAAAATAAAGCTACCAAGTAAACGCTTTATTATGTATTGACTAAGAGAAATGTCATTTCTGATATTCCAGAGACACAGAATTCAATAAAATGCTTCATATATTTATTTGAGAACTTCATATGCAGTACCGGGTTAGGCCCAGCAAAGATTCAAAGAGGAATGAGACTTGAACCTTGACCCCCACAAATTTCACAAACCAGTATGCAAAGCAAAACATGCCTAGTCAATACTTAGCTACAATTCAGTCCAAAAACAGTAAATCAAGTTATACAGGCATGCAATAATTAATTCAAATTAAGGGACGGAGCAAAATAAAAAATCTGGCAACATTTAGACAAAGAAGTGGTTTTTATGCTACTCTTAAAGATACGGAGGACTTTAACAGACAACAAGAAGAACAATTACACACAATTACAGAATGTGAGCAAATTAGCATTCAGCGGGAGAATGTTCAAGAACGACAAATGTTCTTGGTGCTGAAGTACAAGAGAGACCATGGCAAAATATAAGGCTACAGATAACTGCAAGCAGAGAGCATTAAGAACCTAGATGCTCCAGTTAAAAAGATAGACTTGCGGTTGGATGCGGTAGCTCACATCAGTAATCCCAACTCTTTGGGAGGCCAAGGTGGGCAGATCAGGAGGTCAGGAGATCGAGACCATCTTGGCTAACATGGTCAAATCCCAACTCTACTAAAATACAAAAAATTA